GGTATTGAGAATATTTATATGAATTATTTCCTCTGAGATATAACACTGTAATTGCTTCCTGCATAATGCTGGTTTCTTGTTTGGCTTACTCCTCATTCGTGAACATAGAAGTGACATGTTCCTCCTAATTATTGGTTGAATTTAAATGGACTGCATTGAATTCTATCCCAGGAGGTACAACTCTGCATAACCATTGTTGGGATAACCTCAAATCCTATATATGTTTATGATTTGAATCTTTCATGGTGTCTCGTATATGCTGACATTTTTTTCAGGTGATCAGCTATGTAAAAATGACTGAGTATCTAGCATTTCAAACATTCTACCTCTGATGCTGGATACTCAGTCCATATTGACATAGCTTATCACCAGAATAATTTCATGAAATATAAAATATTCTTATGTACAGAAATATCTTTTCAAACAATTTAAATTCATTTTGAATAGGAACAATTTCAGTTAGATGAAAAACTGCTTCTTTTGTATGATAATGAGAGAAGAGTGAAGATTTGTGAAGAAGAGTGCAAGAAATTTCAGGATAGCATATGGATGTTGAAGCAGCAGAGGAAGAAGGCACTGGAAGAGCTTAAGCATAAGGATCTCAGTAAATTGGGTTGTCTTATTGCTGAAACAACATCAGATTTACAAAAAACGGTAAGAAATTTTATATCCTCTAGGTAAATAAAGTACTGTGCTGCATAGTTGAAATCTATATCTGACTTGTTAATACAAATATTTTCACACTCTTTTATACACGATGAAAACAATAGCATTGATATTTATATCTTCAGGAAACTGAATGTCAGAAGAAATGTCAAAAACTGAAGTCCAAAGAAAGAACTGTGGAACATCTGACACACAAAGTTAAGTTAGTTTTTGATTCACTGGAGAGACAGAAACAACTTGAAATTAAACAGAAGCAGATTATTCAGCAATTGGAAAAAGATCTTGCCGAGGTACAGACAATGGAAGCAGAGTATAAGAAATTAATTCAGAGTCAGGAAACTGATGAACTCTTGGAAGAAGAAAGGGTAAAGTAT